AACACAGAATAGAATGACTTTTTATTTGTAGTAATCAATGTGATGCCACAAATAAAATGTTCAGTATTTTTTTTCAAGTCTTAGACTCTGACTTACAAGAAGCTCAGTATATTTTGTGGATTTAGTGAGGGAAAAAAAAGCATAGTCCCTGGTCTGAGGAGAGGCTATCCATCCACAACTCACAATGCATGCATCTCAGCCGGGTCTATTAATTTTCCATACACATGAAGCCAAATTCTGCCTGGGATTATTATGCAATTTTCAAAATGGCTCTAAGTCTTTCAGCTTACAAAGTTACCATTTACATTGCACTGGGCTGCTGGCTGGGATGAATGAATGAACACTCTTTCCCAAAGGACCATAATTCATTCTCTGATCATAGCTTATACATTTGGGAGCACTGGGATCAGTGTGCCTGGCGCCTCCCCTCCCCTCTGCCCCACAAAGGAGTCATACACTGCAAGGGAAGGGGAGACAAAGTGGCTGTGTGCCACAGAGTGCAGAGGTGTGGCCAGGGAGGTGTTGACTGTGAGCAGCACCAGTCTAACATATAAGCAACTGTCTACATGATGTGATTTCAGGTGCACCAAAAAAGGCCTCATTGCCCCTCAGTTTAAACACTCCCTTCCCACTGGCAGATGCCTGGAATTCCACAGTTTTTAGAGCTCTGTTCCTTTGGTTTAAAGCTTTGATCCTGTTAAAATACTCGTACCCCTGGGTGGGCAGCCCCATTATAACCTATCAACCATATACACTGTAAGCGGATGAGTTCTAAAGTTTCTTCTCTGAAAGCAGGTTTTGAGAGTGGGGTTCAGGGCAGAAGATACTGTGTACCTGAGTGAGATGGGGAGAGGAGAACATCACCTGGGGGGCAAAGGAAACTGGGCCCAAGACAAACAATGTGTGCGTGTGTGGCCGTGTGCACGGCTGTGTATGAGCTCCTCCCATGGCGGCAGCTGTTGAACACCCTTTCTTAACCCTCTCCCAGAAAACTTGATTTATGCTGCTTTTGGAGCCATGGAACCAGACTCTCCTCCTAGCTACAGCAAGATGATAGCTGCTGGCTACAGCTGGGAATTCTCGAATTCTTTCAAACTGGAGACTAGGAGCAAAAGGTGAAGAAAAGTTCTTCTGGGCCTGCTGTGCTAGGTAGCCTTCCTCTGGGGTCCAAAGAGAAAGATGGGGCCCAACAGTGTTATCTAAATGCTTCCAACTTGGCCTGAAAGCACAGAATCATGAATTGTCAAAAGTGAACACTGGCTCAATCATAACATTCTTTTGTGTTTCTAGACTGATTGTTTCTCTTTGTCTCTTCTAGCTGAAGAGTAAGGATGAATCACTGGCCTTACTTCTAACACAAGGAAGGGAGCCTTGAAAGGTAAGACAGTTGTTTGTGTAAAAGAGAAAAAGAAAACCCAGTCTTAATTCACCAGTCGCCCATCTGGGCAGTATATAGTATGTAATGTAACAGATTGTATGCTTTAGTTAAGGAACTGGATTTTCATCAGTAAAATTTCAAGTTACTGGGTACGCAGAGCAGACAGCTGCTCATGGCTTTCCTGCAAGCTTTCCTCCATGTCAGTTTCAGTGCCTGAAATTCCGCTATTAGAGTCATCACTTAGGGACTGAAAGGTTAGAAAGTCTTTGAGAGGCACTTATAAAAATGGAACCACTCCTTAAACCTAGCAGGTTTTATTAACTCTTACCTTAGGTTGGCTAAAAGCCCTGAAGTAGCTGCTTGGAGTGGGAGCAGAAGCTTTTAGGCCAAAGACATATTTTTCAAAACCTCAGGGCTAGCTTGCCTATGACATAGCCCACATCCTAGTCATTCACATATTGCACACATATTTTGTTATATCTTCATACTCCCATTACTATTAAGTATTTTTCTTCAAACCCACTCACATTTTTATTGAAATTTATCATGGCACCAGTTGCTTAGCTTTGTCCTGACAAAATCATGGGTTGGATGTACTAGTTACATATATTTCTTCGAATCCACCATTAAAATAAATATTTACTAAAATGAAAAGCAAAAACTTCATTGGTTCACTTCAGTGAACCCAGGGATTCACACACTGCACTTAGGGAAGCACTGCCCTAGCTCATACAAAGTGTATTAGATATAAAAGTGTATATTAAAAATAAGTCACAGTCCCCCTTTTCCAGGTACTCAGTACCCAGTAGTTGAAAACAACTGTTGCCTTTGTAGTTAGTTGCATGAGCTCTGGAAGATCATGAATTTATGGGAGGTCATGTCTTTCTCTGCAAGGTCATGAAATTCAATCAATGCTTGCCTTCCAATCTGCCCTTTGGTCACAGGGCTCCACAGGTGGAACATATCAAACTCACCAGCCAAATTATGACTCTTAATTGGTGTTTCTTTTAAAGTGGATATGTCGTTTGTCAAATGTTCAATGCAGGCGCAGGCCTAGCCCCAGGCAAAATTATGAAGTAGGAGAAGAATACCAGATACACTGGCCACACTGAAATGTTTGTTGAAAAAAGAGTGAATGAGCCCTCCGTCCTTGACTCCTTCTCTCCCATCCCCCACATCCGCTAGGTCACCATGCCCTTTTAACTCTATATGCTAAATATCTCCAGTAATTATTTTTCCATTTCCAAATCTTCACTGCTAGAGGACTTTATCGTTTCTTGTCTGGGTTATTTTCACGGCCTCTTAACCGGTGTCCTTGCTTCCAATCTTTTTCCTTCTCCAAGCCATTCTCCATAGTGACTGCTGCTGGAAGGATCTTTTAATCAGGCAAATATGATCATGGTACCCCCCCCGCCCCGCAGTGCTGAAAATTCCCTTAAGTGGTTCCCCAGGCTCCTCCACATGGCTCCAAGACTGCATAATCTGGCCCTTGCTCTCTCACCTTAGCCCTTCCAACTCCCCAAGCTGGAATCATTACTTGCATCTCCCACCCTCCAACTGGGCCATGCCAAGCCCTGTCCTCTCAGTGTCTTTATTTATGCTGCTTTCTTTGCCTCAGCACCCTTCTCCCCATCTCCTTGTGTCACCTAAGCTCCTACTGGTCTTTTGAGTCTGAGTTTAGGGCATCATTACCTCTGGCACACTTTCTCTGATCCCCCCAACCCTTAGAAGTTTATCTAAGAATTCACACAGTGGGTTAACATTCTACTTGGTTGTTTCCCCCATTAGTTTGCAGTTCTTTGAGGTCAGGTACCGCACGGGTTGGTTAATCTTTGTATCCTCATTGTCTGTTTGTAATCTACAGCACCTGGACCACAGTAGGAGTTCAAATATTTGTTACCGAATGAATAAATGGATGAATGAACTTCCCTCATGACCTTCCTCTCTCTTTGCCTCCCTTCTCAACTCCCGGGTCCTGGAGCACAACCTCCTCTCCCTAGACCTTGCACACCCCAGACAATTTCTGGTGCTGAGGTTTTCCCTCGAAACCTACTTTCAATTAGGTCACAAACAAGACCATCAGATGACGAACTAATTCATGTTGAGGTGTTAAGTAATTTCATCATACAAATACTTATTGAGTTCTCTACTGGACTAGAGTGTGGAGGGTCATAAAAAGAATCCACGCTAAAGATCCCTACTTAGCAGCATATAGGTAATGACTAAATGCATTCCTCCTCGGAGAGATATGTGATTCTCAAAGAACTGGATTTCTGATAGTGAAATCTAAGCAGGAGAGGTGGGATTTGGGTGTAGAGACCTTTCAAATAGCCTTCTAGTCCGTCTATGAAATAGGCTAGCTTTGGCTCAATAAATTTGCTGTGTTATACATTACCATTACATCATTACGATTTTCTTTTTTTTTTTTTTTTTTTTTTTTTTTTTTTTTTTTTTTTTTTTTTTTGAGACGGAGTTTCGCTCTTGTTACCCAGGCTGGAGTGCAATGGCGCGATCTCGGCTCACCGCAACCTCCGCCTCCTGGGTTCAGGCAATTCTCCTGCCTCAGCCTCCTGAGTAGCTGGAATTAAAGGCATGTGCCACCATGCCCAGCTAATTTTTTGTATTTTTAGTAGAGACAGGGTTTCACCATGTTGACCAGGATGGTCTCGATCTCTTGACCTCGTGATCCACCCGCCTCGGCCTCCCAAAGTGCTGGGATTACAGGCTTGAGCCACCGCGCCCGGCCACATCATTACGATTTTCTAATGAGTGAGACTGGCTTTAAGCCCCTGGTTATTGAGTGGTCGCCAGTTATGCTTTGCTTCATGAAGGGCCGCCTGGGGCTATCATGCAGTAGATTCTTTTAACACCCCAGGATCAGGTGCTTTCTCTGACTTCGTACTGCTTTATAGAATCAAATCTAGCAAGCCACAGGGGTTGTCAGACTTCTTAGACACAGTATTCAAAGGTGAGGCAGGCTGTGAAAAGCCCAGTGGTACCTGCCTACCCCTGCACGTGACTATTTGCGGATTGGCTTTGAGAATCCGGTCAGGGCTGCGTTAAGAAAACGGTTCGCGGGAAGCTCCTCAGAGAGCAGAACGAGGAGGTGGATTTTGTGGGGAGGAGGAAGACCTTGTGTGACTCTGGTGGCCAGGAAAGAGCTGGAACAGGCTGAAAGAAGGCCTGTGGCGAAGCGGAGGGGCACCTAAGCCAGGGACCCCCACCTACCCCTAGGAAGAATGAAAAGGTTGTAAAAATCCTAAAGAGAAAAGCCCTCCAGGTTGTAGACCAATGAGCGGCGTGAAGGAGGAGTGAGGCTGGGGAACTTCTCCCAGAGCCAGTCAGAGGACGGCTGCTGGGAAGCCAATCAGCGCGCTCGAGCCTGCAGCCCCTCTGCAGTAGTTATTCCAAAGCGCCCTGTGTGGAGCGGCGGCGAGCGGACAGCTGGGCTCCTCTGCTGGGAGCCATCGCGCGCGCTCCGCAACCTCCTCCAGCACTGCCCCCGCCTGGTCCCCGCGCTGCGGTGCCCCAGTGGCCCCTGCTGCGCTCCACGCCGCGCCCCCCGCACTCCGCAGGCTACCAGCAGCAGGACCGCCACCGCCCCCTGGCAGCGCAGCTCGCCTCGCCCCGCCCCGTTCCTCCTCGCCCCGCCCCACCCCAGTCAGCCCCGCCCTGCCCCGCGCCGCCAAGCGGTTCCCGCCCTCGCCCAGCGCTCAGGTAGCTGCGAGGAAACTTTTGCAGCGGCTGGATAGCAGCACGTCTCTTGCTCCTCAGGGCCACTGCCAGGCTTGCCGAGTCCAGGGACTGCTCTCGCTCCGGCTGCCACTCTCCCGAGCTCTCCTAGCTCCCTGCGAAGCAGGATGGCTGGGACCGTGCGCACCGCGTGCTTGGTGGTGGCGATGCTGCTCAGCTTAGACTGCCCGGGACAGGCGCAGCCCCCGCCGCCGCCGCCGGACGCCACCTGTCACCAAGTCCGCTCGTTCTTCCAGAGACTGCAGCCCGGACTCAAGTGGGTGCCCGAAACTCCCGTGCCAGGTGAGGAGGGGTCCCGTGAGTGTTCCCTGTGCCCAGCTGGGAGCAAGGGGCGTGTGTGGTGGCTGTACCCTGAGCGCGCTAGCGCCGCGGGGCTGCAGTCCTGCGCTCTGAAGCTGGGCAATTGGGAGTGGTCGGTGTGCCTGGAGCCCGGCTGGATCTACTGAGGGAGGGAGAGAGGGTGTGTGTGGACAGAGCCCATATCCCCCAGTCTCACGCTGCTGTCAGGGAAGGTGCGAGCTGGAGGAACCGTGGGGATTGCCTTCTCGTGAGCGCCCATTTTATGGAAGGGCAAGAAGGTGGGAGCTATTTTCCTGGGTCTCGGCGAACTGGCGCCCCACAGCCGAGCTAGTGCCCCGGGAATTTGCCATCGTTGCTCACACATACATGTCCGAATTTCAGCCTTAGCTGGGCCACAGCTCCAGCCGTCTTTTCCTCAACGTGCCCCCCATGTTGTCTTTTACCCAGCCTGGGTTTCCTAAGCTCACGGGCCCTAGTGCAAGCAAAGTTGAGGACAGATTTCTGAATCTGCAGTGGTGGGTGAAGACACACTGAGGCAAACTTTTGAGTAAGAGGGTCACCAAAATGAGGAGGACTGATCCCTTTCCTTCAGAACAGCGTCCCTTAAATAGGTTAGCGAAATCGCTTTAAAAACGGTGCTGCTGGCCGGGGGAGCAGGAGTCCAAAGATGATTTAACTCCTCCCCCTCCCAAATTCATCTGCCTTCTTGACAGGCTAGACCCTAAAGGGGAGATGATTTTAGGTGGAGGAAAGTTTCTGAACGCCTACCTTTTGTTCTCACAATCAGATCGTGCCGTAAGGACATATTTTAACATTAGCCGAGGGCTGCCGCTGTCAACAGATGAATATTAACGGCCCTGTGCGAATGACTGTCCAGCGGTTGGGCTCCTAACACCCGCCTTAGAATCCAATTAGAACAAGTTGCTACACTGACAATACGGACAAGAACAGTCAATTTCAAACAGGTTAATTTGTCAGGGGTGCACTGAGAAGAAACGGCCAGTCGTATTCGCTAACCGTGAGACGTTGGTGGCCTCCAGGGTCTCTTCTCAACTCAGGCATCCAGTGAGGCGCGCGTCCCGCGCTTCTGAAGGATCAGGGAGCAGCCCCAGCTAAAACTTGGCTGGTGGCTCTCACCAAGTCATGGAGGCGGGCTTGACGGTTGGACCAAGTTGTGAATGCGGATGCGCGCCCCGTGGGCGCTGCCAGCCAGCGTTCACTGGTAGGAGGTTACCTAGGTAGCCAGCGCGCCCTCAGCCTTTTCTTTAGGTTGATGAAAAGAGCCGAGTGAGCCTGCTGTTTAGTTGCAAAGGTAATTGGTCACCCTTTTTGGTAACTGAAATGCATTTGCGCATATGTTAAATATTGCTTTGCAGGATTTCACTCTAAGGGAGGGTCGAACTACCTCATCCACTGTTAAGAGTTAATAATGTACCACGTGGGCGTGTGCAGGAGCTGTAAGGGGCAACCTACGAATCAGTTCCATAGAATTGAAACAACCAGTGAATCTCTCTCCCCTGGAACTGCCATGGTAATTAGATTGCTAAGGCTAGAGAACATGCTTTTGTTGGTAATGTAAAAATTGATCCTCACAGGCTGAGCCCCCACAAGATGAATGTGTTCAGGGTTGGGATTGGGGCCACATTTGGCTTATTTGAAGCCAGGAGGTAAAGGTGCTGCCTAAAAGAAGAAAAAGGCCAGAGGACAGCACAGATAGTCATTTAGCAACCCCCCCCTCTGCACACGCACACTCATGCAGGCACCCACCCTCTCTCATTCTCCTCCAGTTCTCTGGCTGCTTGCCTCTTTGTAGCAGTATTGGGAGGGCCCACACACTGTGTGTATGAGATTTGGCCTGGGCTCCTTCCCTCCCTTTAGGCCTAGGGATGGCCATACTCTTATAGAGAAGAGGGACTTGTAATAAAGATTTTTTATTTTCCTCTACTATTTCACAAACTGTATAGGAGAAATTGCTTTTCAAGGGTTTCATCATGTAAACGCAACATTCCCTGCTTCAGTTTTATTTAACAAGCACAAACACTGTTGAGCATCTTCTCTATGGGAGACACTGTCCTGACTCACACTGGAGCCAAGCCAAACTTCAGATATGGTGATCCCCATACAGCTACCATTATATATCCTGGCTTTTCCGGGGCAGTGCAGGTTTCTAATACTGTGTACTGGCATGAAACCATGTGTCCTGAATTTTAGTAGGACAGATATGGTCACTGTAGATATGGAAAACGTGGAAATCCTAATGTTCGTGTGTAGAAAGAGCTCATCAGTATTTTAGGGAGGAGACAATAATGGCGGACTAAATACAATGGCAAGTGCGTAATTTCAAAGTGAATAAATGTGTAATTTGCTGCCGTCGTTCAGTGGTTGGAAATTGAAAGAGAGCTGAAAATTATTTGATAGTTATGAACCATCATGATGACCGCTTGACTTTCCCCCCTCCACATTCATATTTTAAGCCATGTTCAGTTTGCCTGCTGCACTATATTAACTGCGTTAAAGCTTTCTTTGTCCCAGATCAAATGAGATTCAGTCACAGTAAGGAGAAATCCTCAAGAATGTCCTGTTTCACTTAGTGGGAGCATTTGGGATTGACTGCTAACTTCGGCTATTAGCAGAATTGGGTTAGCTTGAATAAGGTACATTTCTTATGCTAATATGGATGAGACTAAATGGCATTTGAGATCAGCCAGGCTAAAAAATAAATCACTGGTGCTGAAGGACTACACTAGACTTCCACAAAGCTGATCTAAAGCCTTACAATCCCATGTTCCCATTTCTTTTGGAGTGTTCAGGTCACAGGATAGCAATTCTAAATAGCATGTTCCCAAAATCCATAGATCTCTTCATACTCCACTTATTTTTTTTTTTTTTTTTAAGGATTTGTAACTTGGAAAGCACCACAGATGGAAACCAGGCACACAGAGTTAGCATTTGGCAGAAAAATCCATATAACTGACTTTCGGTACAGCTCTTTTGCCCTTATTTAATTTAGAAAAATTCAGAATAGAGCCAATGAGCTCATAAGTCTAGATGTTTATTTTGTTTTGCTTAACCTACCCACAGGCGCAATCAAGAATGGATACAATTTTAGGCAAGGAAAGTGAGCTAGTAATCAGACAATGATGTTTCCAATTGTCTCAAGGGAATGTTACAGAAGTCTGGAAAAAAATTCCTCTAAACAAAAATCAAATGTAATTCACTTTATGAATGCCATACAGCACTTTTGTCAGGGGAGGGGGTAGAGTAAGGGATGGATGGAAATGAGAAAATCAAACAAACCGTGGTAGTGTTGCAACTCCCAAAAGATTGAGGGCTCTTGCCTTGGAGGGTCTTGGAAAGTGCGAGAACCGATCCAGAAGGCCAAATGCCTGTATGTGTAAAAGGCAGCCTTGAACAGCCAAAATTGACTAGGACTTTCTTGAAATAGATGAAATAACGTAAAAATAAAAGGCAACGTGCTTGAAACAAAGAGATAGTTTGGTATTTGTTGTTGATTAAGTGTGAGAACTAGCCTCCCGTATCTGGGTTGCCAGCTGCAGTTCCCCAATTAGTTTGAAGCAGTTAGCGGTCCTAATGTTGAGAGAGAGAAGTGAGGTGTGGAAGGGTTTTCTCTCCTTTGAGATTGCACTAGACATTTGGGTGACCAGGTGATTTGTTAAAACTTTCAGACTTTGAACAATGCAAAAACCTCTGTATTGTGTACTAACTTGGAACAGTTAGAGAATTCTTTCAAATGTGGTCTGAATGGAACACGAATCCTGATACTGATACCAAGCTGTGCTTAGAGGGAGCCATCAATCTGATGGAGGACATGGCTGATGATTTGTGGGGCACCTTGGGCTGAAAGGAGTCTAACACTGCCAACTCCTTGGCAGCCTCTGTAATAGGTGCTGGGGGTGCAGAGAGGAGTGAGACGCAATCCCTTTTGTCAAGGAGCTCACAGTCTAGTGGGGGAGCATGCAAGTAAACAGGCTTCCCAGGAAACTTGTAGGATTAAAAGGGTGAAAAGGGCTAGAAAATACCTCCAGGAAATTGGCTGAAATGGTCACAATAGCCAGCCTGGGTAAGGGAAAAGAACTGAAGAGATGAAGTGGGAGATAGGGAGAAGTTTCTTAATAGGACTGCCATCTTAAAAAGAGTTTCTTAATTCTTGGAGCAAATTCCATTTTGAAAGCATTAGGAAATACAGACATAAGAAGAATTTTGATGGATGCTAAATGACGCAGATGGTGTCAGTTTTGCAATATGTTTTTTTCTTAAGGGCTGGTAGGTTGTATCCAATATTTTGATGCAATATTTTTGAGCATTCTGCTACTTCCATCTTTAGAGTTGCAATGTTTGCTGTTCACTGTAGCCTAGAAAAAGGCAGCTTATTACCGATCTGGGAGAAGAGTCCTGGATTTGTCTGGTCTGAGACAAGACAGCAAATATGTTTTCTCTTTAAATGACAGCTATCAATGACCACGCCAACTTCAGTATTTGATGCGTATACAAAGCATGGGTTTTAAGAGGTATCTTATTACTCATTTCTAAGAAAATTGAAGATAATCACTTATAACTTGTGCACACGATACATCATTTGGAAAGAATTTCACTGGGGATCATGTTGCTCAACTGAAAAGTTCTGGCATGCTGAATTTGTACATTTTTTGTGAATGCTTCCTTTTGCTCTGATCTCTCGCTTTTTTCTGCATATGGTTATTTGTATGTTTTAGATTATAAGCCTCTTAAAGGGAAAGCACTGCTTTTGAGCAGTGTTGAGCACAAGGCCATACAGCATTAGTAATTAGTTGACAAAAATAGAATTTCTAGATCATTATGTATTCCCTATGAACTCTCACATACCTTCTTAAGCCATATGTCATCTTACATATTTTAAAACCGTAAGTTTAAATTGTTACAATACATTATTGGGGCATGTGGACAAACTTTTCAGCCTACATATATTTTGGCTGGAGACAGAT